GGTGGCCGGGCTGCAGCCGCCCCCGTGGGCCGAGACCACCTGGATCTACCACGACGGCGAGGACACCAAGATGATCGTGGGAGAGGAGAAGAAGTTTCTGCTGCCCTTCTGGCTGCAGGTGATCTTCATCTCGCTGCTGCTGTGCCTGTCGGGCATGTTCAGCGGCCTCAACCTGGGGCTCATGGCCCTGGACCCGATGGAGCTGCGCATCGTGCAGAACTGCGGCACCGAGAAGGAGAAGAACTACGCCAAGCGCATCGAGCCGGTGCGCAGGCAGGGCAACTACCTGCTGTGCTCGCTGCTGCTGGGCAACGTGCTGGTCAACACCACGCTCACCATCCTGCTGGACGACATCGCCGGCTCCGGCCTCGTGGCCGTGGTGGTCTCCACCATCGGCATCGTCATCTTTGGGGAGATCGTCCCGCAGGCCATCTGCTCCCGCCACGGCCTGGCCGTGGGGGCGAACACCATCTTCCTCACCAAGTTCTTCATGATGATGACCTTCCCCGCGTCTTACCCGGTCAGCAAGCTGCTGGACTGCGTCCTGGGCCAGGAGATAGGCACAGTGTACAACCGCGAGAAGCTGCTGGAGATGCTCCGGGTCACCGATCCCTACAACGATCTGGTTAAGGAGGAGCTGAACATAATCCAAGGGGCGCTGGAGCTCCGCACCAAGACGGTGGAGGACGTGATGACTCCGCTCCGGGACTGCTTTATGATCACTGGCGAGGCCATCCTGGACTTCAACACCATGTCGGAAATCATGGAGAGCGGCTACACGCGCATTCCAGTGTTTGAGGGAGAGCGCTCCAACATCGTGGACCTGCTGTTTGTCAAGGACTTGGCCTTTGTGGATCCGGATGACTGTACTCCCTTAAAAACCATCACCAAGTTTTATAACCACCCCTTGCACTTCGTTTTCAATGACACCAAGTTGGACGCGATGCTGGAAGAGTTTAAGAAAGGTGGGGAATTTTGGTATCTTTCATTGGCTTGCTCTTTCTCTCTCCATCCTCCTTCCCTACTTGAATGCTCTGGCCCTCAGACCAACCCCCAAGGCAAGTTGGCCAGAATTTCTCCTCTCTTTTAATTGCAAAGTTGAAAGGGTGGCGTGGATTTGGGGATGGATTGAACTAGCAAACACTTCTAGGTTGTTTGAAAGTACAAGACTGCCATCGGTTCGTTTTCCCCGTGATCAAAAGCAGGCTTTATGATTTCTGTGCATAATAAGCCCTCAGCCCGTGGGGGGCCTCTGGTCTCCCGGGAGTCTGTTGCACTGGTTATGTGGGTTGTGAGTGGGTAGGCGAAAGTAGGGGCCGGCTGAGGCCGTGTCCTTTGGGTGACATGTGCTAATCGCAGGCACTTGGGTAACAGTGAAATAGCTCGTCTAAACCCAAGGCAATCCTTTCCCTGCTTAAACATCCGCACTGCTGTTTCAAAGATTGGAACTGCATTTTTCTAAGCTTCTGCTCCTGGTTGTCTGGTGACCTTTGGGGAGGGAAGATTGAGTCCTGCCTCTGAGGGTAGAGGGTGGGTGAGCCAAGTATCACCGAAACAATGCACTTATTTTGGTTTTGACTTGGCTCAGCTAGGGAAGAGGGCTCTGTGAAAACCAGTTAGTTACTCATGTAACTCGGAAAGTCTAGAGGTAAGCTCACTGTTTATGTGGCTGCGTGCCTCTAGCTGCGTGCCTCTAGCTGCGTGCCTCTAGCTTTCTTCACTATTTGTTTTTATTTGCCTGACAACGAATAAAATTTGCTAAAGTAAATGTGGTTTAGCAAAAGGCTGAAACCTTTGACAGTGGGATGGATTCCTTAATGATGACTTCTGTATTTCTTGACTCATTTTAGTTTAAAAGTGCTCTTTCTTTACCTTGATCACCTGATCATTAAGTAGAAGTGTGTCTTCACCTGCACCCACTGTTTCAGTGTTTAGTTAACAGGGAAGAAAACGAAGTGCAGACCTGATGTGCGTACGCAGCACATCATGCCTTGCGTTTTGATGTTGTTTTACCATGCCATGAATAGGTAAAAAGCAGTTTGTATTATTGTTACCGAAGTTCTGCTAGTTTTCAGTAAGTAGATAGTGCTATTTGACTCAGGCTTTTTTTTTTTTTTTTGGTGCTGGAATCGAACTCAGGACCTTGCGCTTGCCGGGGAGGCGCTGTACTGCTGAGCTGTATCCTGGCCCTGGTAGTGTTATTTGAAAACCAAGGCAGGCTGAGTTAATTGCTGTGATGCAAGTGCGTGTATTGAAATGTGTATGTAACCTTTTGTGACCTGATCATCCTCAAAATTAAGCTTTTTCAAGTAGAATTTTAGGGCCGGGCGTGGTGGCGCACGCCTGTAACCCTAGCACTCGGGAGGCGGAGGCTGGAGGATCACTGTGAGTTCAAGACCAGTGAGCTCAAGGCCAGCCTGAACTGCAGAGCGAGACCCAGTCTCAAAAAGAGGAAAAAAAAAAAACAAAAAAAAAACCAAAACACCAAAAAAAACAAACAGAACTTTAATCACTAACAGTGGTCTCTCCCCTGCAAAAGGTCAGGTACCTGGTGACCACTTCCTAGATGGGGTCAGCTAAACACACAGAATGTGTGCTTGTCCTCGTTCTGCTTTCCTGGCTGAATGGGTGTCCTCTCCAGAGCAGGACCACAGCGCAGTCATTTTCATATAAAAATAGAGCAGAATGTGCTCTGGAGCTTGGTAATTTGCATTTAAAAGTAGGAGATTCTTCTGGATGCTTAAGCAGTAAGAAAATGTCCATTCTGTCTGGTGACAAAGCCTCTTGTAAGAGTGTCATTATTTTTTTCTGTTGTTAATTAGAGCATCTAACCAAAGTCTTCTTCATTCTGTGGTAATGTCCATGATACAGGAGGATGCCCTGAAGTGCTTAAAAATACCTCGGAAATTCTATTGCTAAGTTTTCCAGTATTAATACAGATAATTTTTTATGAGTTCTCTTTAAATTCAGGATTTTCTCCATCAGTTTATAGATTATTGATAACACTAGTTTTTACTCCTTGCTGGAATCTTTTTTGGGGGAGAGTTGAGATAGGGTATTGCTATGAAGTTCAGGCTGGCCTTGAACTCATAGCGGTCCTCCTGCCTCAGCCTCCCTGAGTGCTGGGAGTATAGGTATGTGCCAGCCATGCCAGGAAGTATTAGTGAGTTCTGGGATTATAGCTGTGCCACCATGCCAGGCTCCCTTTCTTGGATCTTATCTGTGAAAACATTTTACCGGGTTCTTTTTCTTCTCCATCTTCTAGTTCCTTCTTTTCTTCTTCTTCTTCTTTTTTTTTAATAGAAATTGAATCAAATGTGGGAATTGAACCCAGTGTGTTAAATATGCTAGGCAAGCCCTCTACTGTGGAGCTGCATCCCATTTTGTAACTCAGTTATGACTTAATTTTAACACTCAACCTTCTGTTGTTTTTCTGTGTTGAGTAAGGGTGTATGGGATGATTTGAAGGTTTCCCTTTTTTCTTTCCTTTTGTGTTATTTCCATTTCACACAAAACCAAACCAAACAGACACTCCCAACAATATCAGCTGTAACTGACCCCAGACTGGTTAGATCATTAATCCAGATCTCCTTGAAAATTGTCCACCCTAATTAAGAAGATCTGAATTGAAGCTTGCCTGTGTAACGCTCTTGTGAATTAGTCTGAATTACTCTTTTCTAAAGAAGGAGAAATAGAAAGTCCTATAATGTGAAAAGAAAAGCTACCTTTGTAAAATATGTGTGAATGTCTTTATAATGGTTACAAGTTTTTTGCCTGGGTACCAGGAAACTATTAGCCTTACTTGAGGTTGGAAGATAGTAATCAAGCTAATTTTACAATATGATTGTGGAGATGATGATAATTGCACACCTACTTCCTCTGCCAGGTAGGATGAGTCACCTGGTTACCTTTACAGGAATCACCTTGTGAAATACTAGAATTGCTGAATGAAGCATTGTCTTCATTTTACAAATGAGGACAATGAGGCTTAGATTTAATGGTTTATTCACGGTCACGCAGTCGTTTCTCAATTTGGGGTTTTAACTCTGGTCTGGGTGATACCAACGCTTGCATTCTTTGTCGTTGTGCCCGCCAGGGGGGCCTGGAGATCCAACGCAGGGCCTTAGGCACCCTCGGCCATGGCTGTCCAAGAGAACCTGCTCTTCTAGCCACTGCTACCCTTGTCCCGTGAGCCTGGTTTTACTTTTCTGTTTTACTGAGTGTGAAGTTTGATCATTTGTCAAAGCATTGTCTCAGGGTCTCTTGGCCAGTAGACACATAAATGTGCTGTATTCAAGCATATAAACCTATGCTTCTGTGACATTGTGGATAGCAGTGGGTATCCCCATTTTTGCCATTGAAACAAATCGGTTTTTTTTTTGGGTGATTCAAATGTAAGTGCGAAGAATTGTGTTTACAGTGTTTGCACATCAGGCACCAGGGCTCATTTTGAGAATGTTTTACAGTGATCTTGTTCTGCACTTGTGCAGTTTCCGCCAAGCTGCTCTACAACTGTTTATCTAATAGCTAAATTATGTAATGATGTTTCACTTGGGTTCTTATCTCTTTGACTGCAAGGGTCACACAGTAATTTGTCAAACTCAGTTTTCTTATTTAATCTTGATTTAGGTATATTTTTGTGACTGCCACAGAAGAATTAGTTGCTGATAAGCATCCTTTACAGTCCTGCCCCTCCAAGCTCCGGGCAGTCTTTCTCTTTTTTCTTTTGTTACTCTTGTAGTTGCTAACAAGTCTGAGTAAGAACATAAAATTTGTAAGTCCCACTACAGGATTATGAGAATTTTAGGCCGCTACTTTTTTGTGCAGAAAGCTTGCTGGAGGCTCCTCTTTTATCTGACATAATCTTCCTTGCAAAAGAGTGTGGGCTCTTGTAACTACCTGGTTGTATACATGGAGGCCCCTTGGAAGAATTAGCAGTTATTGTTTCCGTGCTTTTGCATGAGCTGTGTAACAGTTGCATTCCAGTGTGCGGGCCCGCTGTTTACAGCTGCTGGAGACAGAGAGGCTTCTTTCTGGCTATTTGTTAGCTAGGAACAGGTACGATCATGAGATGCTGTTTAAAGCACAAGTGTAATGTACAGTTTCCAGTTTAGAGATTAGTCATACCATTCTCTAACTCAGTAAATCTCTCCATGTTAATATGCTGTAAGTTTAATATGAAGAACTTGTGCCTCACTAAATTTAGTGTTCCCGCTTGCTTAGAATAGAGGAGGATGTTTTGTTGGTATTACAGGCATGAAAGGTGTCCCAGGGAGTGGACCTATTTATTTTCATGATCTTGTATTGTGTGGGTACACGTGCAGTAAAATCCATTAAGCTATTATAATTTTGCATGCTTTTATTTATTTTTTTAAATTAAAACTTTTTTTGGTACTGGGAATTGAACTCACGACCTCACTTGTGCCAGGCAGGAGCTGTGCTGCTGAGCTATGTCCTCAGCCTGTGTTTTTAGAACATCATTTTGAAATAATCAGGTAGTATAGGATTCACGCCAGTGGACGCAGGCAGCTTGAGGCTCTTCTAGTTCAGTGTTTATCAGTGTTTTTACCAGATGAGAAGATTTACTTGGGTCACTTCTTTTTGTTTGTTTTGTTTTTTGTTTTTTATTTTGTCTTTTTGAGACAGGGTCTCGCTATGCAGTTCAGGCTGGCCTTTAGCTCACTTTGTTGCCCAGGCTGGTCTTGAACTCACAAGGATCCTCCTGCCTCAGCCTCTCGAGTGCTGGGATTATAGGCATGCGCCACCATGCCTGGCCTGTTGTTTTTTTTTTTTTTGAGACAGGATCTTGCGCTGTAGTTCAGGCCAGCCTTGAACTTACTATGTAGCACAAGCTGGCCTTGAACTTGTAGTGATCCTCCTGCCTCAGCCTCCCAAGTGCTGGGATTATAAGTGTGTGCCACCACACCTGGCTAGTTGTGTCACTTATGAGGAGTAAGGTCGTAGC